GTTCTAAATTATCTTTATAAAAAAAATGAATTTTGTTGAATTTTTATTAGCATTGAATAAAATCTTGCAGAATCACGAGCAAGCTCTGATTTCATGATTAGTCGCGTTGTGTACTTAATTTTCGTTATATCTGGGACAGTTCGAAAGATCAGCTTAAAGTACTTATATGCATAGCTTCGACAGTTGTTTCACTTGATTTCAATTTTTTTTCAAAAATACCGTTTCATCTAATTGCCTATCTTTGAAGAACTGTAAGTCATAAAGCATTCAAAGAGTTTGAAAATTTAAGTAATTTTTAACGAACTACCAAAAGCAAAATTTCCAAAAACTTTAAGAAAAATCAGTTTCAGAAATCATACTTTTTCTATTTAGCTAATTAAAACATAATATAATTCGATTCACCGAGGAAATGTATAATACAAATTTTGATGAGGCATGAGACCTCAATTTTATGTAAGAATTTGTGTTTTCCCATCAGGGGGCTGTTCATTTGTAACCGGACCATTTAAATTACACAAAGGTTGTCACAATATTGGTGATATATAGTACGAGCGCGACCGGCTGTGAAACATTATATATCTAATTGAAGAAGGTGAGAAAAACTGTTTTTTTTGTGCAGAACTTCTGAACCGTTGATACTATTGAAATAAAGTGTAATCTTTTTTTTCAAGTATTAAAAATATCTACAATACAAGACAAGCTAAATTAAAATCCGTTCATATGTTTACTTTATTACGATAATACGAAAAAAACCTCTCAAAAACTGATTTAGAATCTGGCAAGAGCCTTTTTTAATAATAAATAGGAATGAACAAAAAGTTATGAATTTTTTAAGCTAAAATTTATACCATTTAAAAAGTATTTAAAATAAATATAAAAAAAATAAAATAAAAATAAAATTTAAAAAAGCTCGAAAATCGCCGGTTTTCATCATTTTTTGAATAATCATGAACGGATTTCAATATCTTTTGTTTATCTCATATTATAGGTATTTTAATACTTGAAAAAAGTATTAAACTTTTTTAAAAGCGTCAATGGTTCCTTAAAGTGTGTTGAACGTTTTATTAGACTTAGCCAGTTAGACTATCTATTAGTTTCGTTAGTGCTGACCAATGAGTAAGCCTGGGTGAGGAAGGATATTGTTTGCCTGAGAATAATGAATGAAAAAAAATGATCCACGGTAAGTAAGGAAGGTAAGTTTTGGGTAGTTTGGAAGAAACTGGTTCTATGGTATGGCCTTATCTATCTTTAATGTGTTTAAATTTCGTTATTCATTAAGCCGTTTTTGCTTAAGGTGGGTGTTCTCAAGGGGTCTAAAGTAATGTGCAAAAAACGGTTTTTCGCACTTTCTTTTGTCCCAATATTCTGACATCCTTACAAACAACTTCCAATATTCCTTTACCTTCTATTATTGTTTTTATCTATTTAGTGCCTCTAAGAAGTCTAATCGGACTGAACTTCAAAGCGAGAACGAACACAAGTTAAATTATTGGCCCTTTAGTTCGAAGAGCCATGTTGTTTACCCCAAAACAACAGAAAGCGGGCGGTTCCACCTGTAAGCCCTAAATCTTATTGAATACTGTGGACCTTCTTCACTAATTTCCAGAACGAGAATATATAATTTTCAGGTGCCTTAACAGCCACTGTGGTCATTCTTTAATTGTCCAAACACTATTATGAACCTGACAAATTTCGCATTCCTCGGAACCTGTCCCTAATTGACGTTGAAGGTGAATTAAGAAATAAAATTCGGCATAAGAAAGGTTTTCACTACAAGGGATGGCCATGAGAGACACAACGGGAAGTGACACTTTGCAAAAACAGAATTCTTTATTGCGAAATTGACTGGTTTCGAAGAACTAGATTCGGCCCTGGAAATATTGCAACAAATTGACCAGCAGGAGACAATGTCAGGGCTACGTGCCGCAGGAGTGTAAAATGCATGCAGAAGCATGGCAGTGGTTTAAGTGGCAAAGCGACCAGGAAATATTTTGAATGGGCTTGACGATGATCCAATAAGAACAAAACCGATTCGGTTTACGCTTCTAGAAGTGGTATTGGGGTCAATCAGAAAACGGTATATTACATAAGCGGACACGCAACTTAAACAGTGTAACTGACAAATGGTCATTTTACGGAAAGGCCGCGTCTTGCAAGTGGCTCAGAAATTGGGTCAATAATCCGTTAGCAATGCGTGGATTGTTAAAGGGTTCACGGACGATGATGATTCATAGAAGCAGAATCTCAGCCCAAATTCAGTCAACTTTTGAGCATAAAACAACACGTATTAATAAAATAGTCAATGTTTCGTTTGCATGTGTGCCAGCCATCCTCAAAGGTCATGTGACTGCAGATGTTATGTCGCTGAAGAGTTACTAAATGAAGCAACATTAAAGCTTAAGGAGGAAGTACCGAATTGCTTCAAAAAAAACTCTAGATGGTTTGAAAGACGCTTTGGAGGTATTGAGCTATTTCTGAATGTTTCAAGCAGCTATTGAGAAGGTAGTCGAAAGGATCTTACAAATCTAATTAATTTTAAAGCAGTTTTTATGCTCAAACTTGTTATAGCTCTATTAGCGGCAATTCTGTACTCGGAAGGATTTACTGTCTAAATATCAAAGGAGAAAATTTATCGTGTGTTTTTAATAAGATAACCTGCAGTTTGGCCTTCTCCATATTTATATAAATGTATCATTTTGAAGCAAATTCAACAGGAAACCTTGATTTCCGTGAATATATTCCAGAGCAACGTTATTTAATTAACGTTAAATCGTGTTCTTACAATTTGATCAAATTATAGGTAGTCCTCATTGCCATTCGTCTTTAACCGATTTATTCTTTAATCTACAACAGCTTAAGTCTTGTTAGTCTTATTGGGTATTTCGTCTTTTGCCGCAAATCTTCATTTAATTTAACCTGATTTCTTGCTGACAAACCAACCGAATTAGAATAAAAAATGCTCCATTTAGATAGCATTATTTTTCCAATCAACCGTTTTTAAATCAAACGTTTCCTCACGCTGAAAAATATGTCGGTGGATACAGGGAAACTCGCTGATCATTTTTATTTTGTTTATAGTTGTGATCCTTTGCATTTCCTTTCATTTTATTTGTGCTGTTCAGTGAATTGTTTCGATTACTTATTTGGCTAGGGTTTGTGTAACTGGGATTAGTTACTTGCTTTTTTGTCATGGCGCCTATTTGCAATTGTTAGTAGTTTCGAATTTCCTTTTTTGTTTTAACACATTGCATTTTTGTTGTTTTCTTTTATATCTTCTGTAGCCTATTGCTTATCTTAAACTAATTCACTTACTATTGAAATTAATAATGTTGGTTGCATGCTTTGTTGAATACTTTAGCATTCAATTAGGTAGTAAGAGCGATTTGTTTGGATCTAGTCCTTTGGTATTTTCATTGCATTGAGAATTCATTTACTAGAAAATTCCTATGGATGTTTGCTGCCATTTCTCAACATTCCTCTTGCTGACATACCATGGTTTTCCTGTAGCCTCTTCTTCATTTTCTTAGAATTTCTTTATTTTATTATCACTCACCTCTAGTTGTACGGTTGAGTTAACATTCCTGATTCCTAATCGTAATCAATTGAGAATTTTTTGTGCTTTTCTTTGTTTCTCCAATAAAATTCAGATTATTTTTTACATATATTATCATTAAACCCTTTGACCAATACAGAATCTGAAATTAAAATTACCAATATTCTGTAAAGAAGTACCTAAATATCGCCCAATTATTTTCAAGCAAGAAAACTTTTTCAAGCTATATTCATATTTGATTTATAGCGTTTAGCAACAAAAAGTTTGCAAAAATTTACGTCTTTCGATTTCTTCAGAGTGTTGAAGCAGTGGCTAACCCAATTTTCAAAAAATGCTTCTACCAGCCAGGATACGCGTCGCTAATTTATTTCGCTCACATTGAAATTCCACAACAAAAGTGTATATTTATTCTAGGACACTACTTTCCTAGCAACAAAGTGCACGTTGCATATAAAGCTTGACCGTTTATTGGCAGTGTGGCACTATGTAATATTAATTCTAGGATTAGAGGATGCACGTACTGGTTTATTATTAGATGTAGGCGCTTCTTCAGATCCTAATAGCTTACATATGTGTTATTACTAGACAACTTCATGGGTTTTTTTTATTGGCATTTGCTGCAAAATGCAGAACTGCAGAGTCACGACTTACAACATGTAATTTCATTAAGCTTCTTCTTGCAAGCTGTACAACCACAAGTCAGCTAAGATGCTGCCGTTTTGTCTACAGCGCTAAAAATCGGTGATGAAAAATTGCTTTTAATCGGTTGAGTTTTATAATAACTGGAGTTGTTTTTACGCATAGATTTGCAATAACCACTATGACTAAAGCAGCTAAACATGCACATTTATTTTACGTTTGCAAATATTCGCCAGATTTTTCAATACATACCTTGGTGTCTGCCTAGAAATTGTTGTATTCGCCACTGAAGCCAAATCTCATCCTAATTTCTTCAAATTCACTGTTTATGACCGGAAACCAGGCGGAAATGCGTATTTACAGATTCAATATTAATGGCTTCAGGATCGTTTCATGGAGCCTTTTTAGCTTGATGGATTTCCGGAAGCAAAAATCTTGAAGATTTAACTAAGATTTTAATTAACTGAAGAGCAAAAAGTTACCAAAAAACGTCAAGAGGAACTAGAAAAGCCTTTGAAACTCTTTTGAGAGTATTAGGAAATTTTCCTCTTACCCAAAAAAACTTTCAAACGAAGTTATTTTAATTTGCTGGAATGAAGTATTCTCAATTTCGTACTGCGATTTTGCAAATTTGTGCTTATTTTCAATTGAAATCTTTTAAAAATAGTAGACGCCATTTCATGTTTTAATTTCACTTCCATTTCATTACGAAAATGTAAGTGTTGTTTTCAGAGACAAAATATGTTGTTTAAGTCACATGGGAAACCTCTAAAGTTGGTACGTTTCATCAACAGTGGAAGCGTTAAAGGAAGTTAAAATGCACCCATTTTTATTACAAACTATACTATTATAGTAAATTATAAGAAATTTGGTCACTTTCACCTAAATATAAGTGATCATCATCACATCACCGTCTGGTTGGGATAAATAAGTTTTTATTTTAAAATATAGTGCTGGGCCAAGGCAGTAATACTTGCTCCAGTAGGATGAGCTGGAAAATCTCCTGAAGAACCCGCAATATCAAAGTGGCTGTATTTTATCGGTTTATCGCTCCCTGATCCATACTTATCCAGACCAGAAGCCAAAAGCAGAAATGCTACTGGTCCTAATCAATAATCTAAATTAATTTCAACTCTTAAAGCTGATTGTTGTAGGTACATACCCTGGTGACCTCGCATTGACTGAGTGGAGGGTTTGTTCTGCCCTTGAACCACATCATCTCCTTCAATCACTCCGCGATGTTCCGTAATATCGACGTTTTTAAGAGTGGATACTTCAAAGGGATCGCCTATCACCTCAGATGTCTGCTGCAATTTCCTGGAGTGTCCAGCTTTGTATGCTGGTCCATTGTCCACAACTAAACGCGAATTAATAGTGGTCTTTAAATGTACGGAACCAATTGAATGCTTTCGGAATAATAGTTATTCGCTTTACAGAGAATTTATTAACAGAAACATCTTTGTGATTATATCCCATAATTTCTGGCTTCGTAAATTAATGCATTTAGGACATCAGCATAACTGTACATTTTAGGTGTGCAACATCATTAAGATTGCCGGAAAATGAAAAAGCAATCTTTATATGGGTATTATTTGAGTGAGAACACTCCTTCGCATTAACGGGTCGAATAACTGTGAATCTTTCTCCAAAGTCAATTTCTCGACCATCTCAGCCAAAAATTGTAATCACGAATCTCGTTTTTATAATGGCCAACAATGAGTGTTTGTGCGATTACAGTGGCGGCGAAATAATTTTGCCAGCTTATTGCTTGCTGATTTCTTCATAAAGCGTTAATCTGCCTATTTATTATCCACATGCAAATAACAGCTCAAGTGAAATAATCGTGTAAGTTAAAACAAGCTAATAAGTTAGCACCTTGTAAAGCAGAATCTGCTTCTTTGTATTATTGAAATATGCCCATTCTCAGTCATTAAAGGTTTTATAATCTTTTCAGCTCCAATTAAAACTAGTTTTCTGTTGGAAGATTATTACATTAACACATTAGGACTGGCGGCTGGTTGAAAATTAAATATACCCCATTTGGATAAAGCGTTTTATAAACTAAGCTCTGGTTCATTTTATAACATTATTAATAAAATTGCTCACAGCAAGCGCGGTCATTTCCAGTTGTTAATGGCCAGCTCAACAACCCGTAGCTGGTTAAAACAGAAAACAGATCAATTCTCTTCGCCTCTCAGAAAGCTAACTTAGTTCCCGATAAATCATTGCAGGCATGCATTTTTCAGCAGTTTTCAGCCAATTGCGGTCATTTTCTCTTCCTAATCCATAACTCTTCTATTACTATTAACAATAAAATGAATCACGTGGCGTTTATTTCTTGGGTTGAACGCTTTGACCGACTTATTGCAGAAAAGGCACCATATATTCTGCTAGTTCCGCATGCAAACTTGACACTTTCCAAGTTGATGCCTATTTTACATACTGGATAATCGTGCAGGGAGTAATTGATCATCATGACTTTAACTTTACAGAATAAGTGTCAGTATTGAATGTCTTAAATCAATTAAATAAATTTGTCGACCAAATCAGTCCTTGGTCAATAGCCACGCCGTTTTTCAAGTAAGTAAATTTGTACCACAAAATTGTTGCAGTATTTGAGTGAACCAGTAAATGAAACATGGTTCCGTTTGCTGCAAGAACAAGAAACTACAGGAACTGTTACTGTAAAAATGGCAACTTTTTCCATGTGATTTTAATGGAAACAAAAAAGAACACGATTAGCCGTTATCTAAACCCATTTGCAGGAAAACCCACAGTGTTATTTTATCGTGTTGCGAAGCAATTATTCAGTTGGAAATGGGGACAGCTAGCGGTCTTGCATGCTGAAGATTATTTTTAGTGAAGACATAGGTCACATCGTTTAAACAGTTATCGATTTAAAAACGTTAAAAATACCACAGTTCACGAGATTTTTCTTACCTATAGAATATCCAATTCCAACTGTTAAGACGGCATGTCCAGTCAGAGTAGCTATCGTATATAAGTGCGGGTTGATTGCATTTAGTGCTTCTTCCTTAAACTGCAACAAACCACAAAAATGTTGTAATTAAACTCTCGGTTAAACTTAATAACATCGAGTCTTTTTACTTTAAGTCATTTATTTTAGCGTCTATTTCTTTGAGCATTGGCGACATTATTTGTATTTATTTCTGTGTCTTTCTCTTGCATTATTTTCACTTTTTCAGCAATTATGATTTCAAAATTTACTTGGTTCAAGAATTTGCTAGGCTTTATTAATGTTTGGCCTAAAAATACGGCCCGTTGCAGAATTTTGTAACTTATTAGGGTTCACAATTGCTCGCAGTTCATCAGGGTTGAATACATCAAAAGTACAAGAAATATTTCACTTTGGAATAATGTGAATAATGTGGAGAAATATATCGAGACTGGAAATATAGGCTTTAACATTTTTTTTTAATGGTTGCTGGCTGTGGATTTTTAAACAACTTATTTCAGCTTCGTTCTTCTTAAAAATTAAAGATTCAAAAAACAGTTAATGGATGTTTTCATATAAAAAAAAGATATACGACTCTTTCTTCATCAAATAAAAATCACTTCTGGATTCCGCATTCAATTAAAAAAAAAGTATCAGTTCAAGTTCTCTGTACAACTCAGCGTTTTCAAATAAAACATAAAAAATAATCTCTCATGAATCTGTGATGTTCCTCATTAACGAAATGTTATGTCTATGTGAATTGCTCGAAATGTAGTACAACCATCTTATAATATACATATATAATATAATACCCATCATATAATAACAAATATTTTCATTTTTTTCTGCCTATATCAATGTGAATATGCTAAGAGTTAACTCAACGCAATTGCACCTGTACGAGAATTATTCTCTCTAAGAGAATTTACTAATTATCCGCAGCTTTGAAATGGGCAGTTTGGACTAGTAACCTGGCCATCCAGATCACCGCACCTTAACCCACTGGACTTTTACGTTTGAGGACAAGGAACAAAGTTTCTTTTGCTACAGTGTTAACCAGCAATAATTTAGTTTTACGAATTCAGCAAGCCATAAAGCAGTAAAATCCCAATCAAATACCAGCTGCAATAAATTCATTAGTTAGACAATGTCGAAAAAGTATGGAAGTGGGTGGACTACATTGCAATTAATTTATTTATTATTATTGTGTCGCATGTTGCAGTGTGATTAAATAGCTATCAGCTATTTTTATTTTTTACTTAAAAACGCTGAGTTATACAGTGAAATAGAACTTTTTCCTTTACAAGTGTTTCCTTTAAAAACATTCATTAAAGTGTTAATAAGAACGTCACTGACAAAACCAAAAAAACTGTTTTATTGAAAAATATGCTCTTTTGTTTGCATTTATCGCCTGCAACTTTTCGTTCCCAAAATAAATAAATTAATTTAAGCGTTTCTGGAATATGGCTTCTGAAACAAGTTCATCTTGTTTTTCGATTCTCGCTGAAATTTCCTTTCTGGAAACTGGACCACCCTGTATACACTAATTTTGCTGAATCTGAATGAACTTTTGAAATTAATTAATGTTTCATTAAGTACTTCAGACAAGATCAGTCGACAAAAACCACGAAACTTAAAGAACACCGCTTTAATCAAGCGTTTGTCCAAGCCAGAAATGTGTAGGTATATTTTAGCTTTTAAATTTAAATTAATAAATGAATGCTACAAGTTGCCGATACTCAGGCCAACAGACGCAAAAAAAATCGTCGAAAAAACGGGTGCCTAAAAAACCACCCCTTAAACTTTTTCATTTTACCCCTAACAGGTACACGTTTTTATTAACCCTGCAAGGTACACTTGCTGAAGGAAAACTTGTTTTTTAACAGTTTTTTAAGGCAATGATATCAAGAAGGTAAACAATAAGGAGAACTAAATTTGTACAAAACTTCATTTGGATTGCAGAACCGGCAACATTAAAAACAATTAGCATCACATCAATTAATTAGCAAGTTAGTAAAATTTCACTTTCAAGTTTTCCAACTCTCAGAATTGCTGATTAAACAACAAATTCGCTCCTTCCTTTAACGGCCATATTAGGAAACATTATGTGCGGCTCATCAATTTCTCTAAGGGAAGATGGGAGCTTAAGAAAGGGGTTTAGGTTGTTTAATATTGGTTCGAAAGAGCTGCGGCCGAAAGAACCATAGATTAACTAAGTAGAAAAGAACCGTCAGGCGCTCACGTGCTGGGAGGGTGCCAGAAAAGGGTTAGCGACGTGAAATTTTAACTGTTGAGGAGCAAAAACTGGCGACATGTGGGCGATGCAGCAAAAACCATAAGATGTAATTACATATGAATAGTTTATCAACCCTTTGAGGGGAGCTCAATTGCTTTTTTGCTACTTTAGGGCATAGGGTGTAATTAAAAGCGGGCACATTTGCCGAAGTCGGTTGTAATAGCTTGTCGTCGATAACGTTTAAATACGTTTTTTAGTTGCTTCTAACATCCTTGCTGCATCCGTGCTTTTTCCGGAAGAAAACGAAGAAAATCTTCTGAATGAACAAAAGACTCCGAGACGTAATGCGGAAGACAAAATAGCGCACCTTCAGCAACAAAGAAGCGAAAAGGTGTTTTTTGGATGCGCCAAAACCCTTCCTCATCATCTGCCGAAAGGGTCGAAGGTAATGTGATTTTTTTAAAAGGTGCAGCCTTACCACATGACGCTAACATGAGTGGTACCGTTATGTACGCATAGCGAAACGTGGAAACGGGTGCAAATAGTTATCTTAGGCGGGTGCCGCGTGCCAGACGTGTGCAAGGGATGCCTTTCAGGGAGCAGATGGTTGAGCGACTGATTAATGTAGGAAGTCACTTAAAAAGCTTCACCTGTAGTTGGAGAATGGATTGATTGTGGAGGTTTTAAAGATTGTGCAAATTTTAATTGGGGTGGGTTTACGTTGGCGGGGTTTTACACGCGTTTGTAATCTTGTTCCATGGAGGAACCAGATATTGAAAAAATCTAATGCTTAATCGAACGAAGATATAATTAGATAAATTGGACGTTCTTCGAATCAATTAGTTTCAGAATTATTTTTGAATGCACCTAACGAATGATGTTTGACAAATATACCTACACCTTGATAGTTAAATCGGTTTATAATTGTTTTTAAACATAAATATTTGCTGTGGTTCGGGGTGAATCACATTAGAATATTTCCTAGAGAATTAGAATGCAATTAGAGAAGTTCCTAATGAATGTCATACGAAGAAAAATAAATAATTAAATGCATGAAACAAATTCAAATTAGGCCTCCGTTTCTTTGCCCTGTTGTATTTTTCAAATGAAGTAAAATTTTATTTTCTTCTCGTGTAACCATTCATTGAAACTGTAAGTGGTTGAATTTTTGAAAAGTTTAAAATCTCGCCAGAATTCAACAGAATATTTAATAATAGTTCTATCTTAGGATCTGATACAGGAGCGGATCCACCTTTAGGGTCAGGGGGAGGGGGGTATGTAGAAAAAATACAGTCTTCTGTTGTTTATGAACATAGAAAAATGATCGTCGTTTTGTGCAAGGATGGCGCAAGATTATTGCAAAATTTCATGTTTTCCGTTCCGTTTTGCATGTTTCTCGGAAGCAAAATGAGCAAGAACGCTCGTTTTTACATCATTT